GGAATGCTAATTTTACAAATTGGGAAACAGAAATGCAAATGGGGAAAGTGACCTTTCTTAAAATCACTACTAAGCGAGTCACTTAAGGAACTAAAAATGCTATGTTATATAATTACTTCTTTCTGGATTATTTTCTATGTTGATGCTCCCGAATTTGCCTTTCTGTTTGTGAGTGGCAGTTAAGCACGGGTAAGGATGCCACATTCAGGAGGCAGGGCAATTTAGTGGAAGGAATACTGGACCCGAAATTGTCATCCCCGTTACACCTCTAGCATGCCTGGTGCCTTTGGGTGAATCACAGAATTGTAATAGTTGTCCTTGTTAAGCGTTGTGAGAATAAAATGGAATGTGGGTTCAAAGGGGGAAATACATTATTTATACATTTTTGATGGACAAATGTTGTATGGTGCTAGATGTGCAGCATTGTATAGTACATGTATAAAGTTATACATGTTGTCCCTGCTGTGCTACAGATTTAGTGTTTTTTATGGTCCATCCTTTTATCCTCTTCTCATTCCTGTGATTCCTATGATTTACTCAGGCATGCCTATGACTTTAGATACTGTATTCCGATGACCTCTACATTTATACTGCTGACCTTGACCTCTCTCTTGAGATCAAATTCTGTAGTGCCAGCCTCCTACCGGACATGTCCACATGCATGTTCCAGAACACCTCAGAACGACCGTTTCTAAAACTGAAATCCCATTTGGGTACCATCATGCTCCTACTGCATTTTCCTTTCATTCTGTCTCTCAAGCTAGAAACTTTGGTTTCAACTGGGTTCAGTTTTCTCCTGTTCTTTTGCCTTTTGCATGTGTTTTATCAGTGATCAAATTCTTTAGATTCTGCTTTCTAAAAGTCTCTTGAATTCTATAATAATAAAATTATTATAGTCCCTATTTTTTTTGAGCTACTCACAGAGTTCAGGCTCCCATCAAATCCTTCCAGGATGCAGGCATAATAAATTTTTGAAAAACGTTTTTAAGGGGGAACAATAGATTTAAATATCGTTAAGGTGAGGTAAGGATTGATGGGAAGTGGTGTTCTGTTGACAGAAAGCTGAAAATTAGTATACTTCCTAGAGGTGCTCTCTCTGCCTCATTCAATAATTTGTCTTCACCTGGGGATTATAGATTCATGCAAGACCTAGTTTTTAAACCGCTATACAAGTGAACTTGGTTAATCAGGATGGAAAAAAAATTTCATTTTTCCTGTCCCTAAAGCATAGGCTGAATGGAGCTTCTGCAGGGCATGTTTGGTATTGGAGGGTCCCTTCTTCCTGCAAGTCACTCTAACCGCCACAGAGGGAGCAAAACAGGAAGGTAATGGGCTGGCAGGAGAGCCTGGACAGGGTGAGAGAGCGTGTCCTGAATTGTGACCCTGCGTAAGTGAATAGGCTTAAGTCTAAACTGGATGGAGACCCTCTGGGACCACACTTACCACCCTGGCGGGATAGAGGATGGTTCTGCCCTGCAGGTCTCCTTAAGCACTTCCTTAAGCATCTCAGTGCGGATATCCACCTGGGGTTCACTTGGCCCTTCTCACATCAACATGCCTGACAGGCAGTGAAAGAACCAGTAAGTAGTTCTGTATCACGATTCCTGGTGAAAGCCAAAAACATCAATTTGATTTAGAAAAGGTAGTTTAGGGATGTCCAAATGTGATATTTAAAATATGTGAAATTTAACAAAAAGTCAATAATCACCCGAATTGCCAATTTCTCAAGAGCTTTCCCAATGTTCAATTTTTTTTCTTTCTTCAAATATTCCACATGGCTACCAGAGAAATTTTTCCAAAATGCAGATTGACAAATCTTTAAAAAAATGGTTTCCCTTCAACTACACTTGCCTTCCTCATGTTTTCAACCGTGGTGGTTTACACTTTTACCAACAATACTCAAATGTAATCCTTTTTTAGGTTCTTCTTCCTTTCATCATAAGGTCAGTCTTCACATGTAATTTCATCTGAAAACAAAACAGATAAAAACCCACACAAATAATATAGCCTCTCAACCCTTCTCACAAATCTGACTCCAAAAGCAGTGGAGAATAATATAGAGATTTAGTGAAGGTTTCCTTGGCGTACAAAATGACACAGCTTTCTAAAACTCCTCTTCAAGCATCTCTTCTTTAAAGTTCCACCTTGTCAGGCAGCTGGCACCCTTTTCTCAATTTCTTTTCTCTCACTATAAGAGCTCAAGCTTCCTGGGCTACACCTTCCCATCTCTCTGTGGCTCTGATCATCATTCCTGTATTTAATGTAGTCCTTCCTCCGTTTCCTTCATTTATGTCCCCATCTATCACCCTGTTCAGCAAGACAAAGGATGCTGCTCAAGCTCTACCTGCCTGAAAAGGGTCAGAGCGAGGCAGGGCCGGGAGGGGGCGTGTAATGTTTGTAATTCAATTTTAATGTGTTTTTATCTGGCAAATTGAAATGAAGTCATGAAGTTTGTGAATGATTCACTTGTATATAAATTGGAGTGGATTAAAAGTTAACACTAGGTAAATCCTTCTCACAGAGTCTCATTTTCTGTGCCTCCTTGGGAAGCAGACGGTTTTGGATCTCAGAGGGATGGCATCTCTGCAAAGCCTGTCTTCTCCCTAGTGGAATCCAGGGAGAAACTATTACATTTACCATGGCTGAAATTGAGGATTAGTATTACGCTTTTGAACTGTGACTGTTGACTAGAACTGAGGAAGTTTGTTTTTGGAAACTAGGAAGTTTGTTTTTCCTAAAACCTGGAACCGGTATCCTGGGCCTGACTTCGTTGCCCTGGATTAGGTGCCTGTTTCTGAATCAATTACTGTGGACAGGAATAGGTGACCCTCTGATTGGGTACTTTTAACACAGAGGAAGCCATGGGTTAAGAGTGGGGAGGGATCGTTTTTCAGTGGTAGATAAGAGTTATTATTAGTTATTTTTTAATTTTTTACCTAGAGAGTACATTGAGGATGGTGACAGAAACAAGTGTCTGTTACATTGGCACACAAAGCCCTGCCTCTCCGCTTCAGCTTTCCTACCCAGCCCCATCCTGCAATGGCTGCTACTTGCTGTTTCCGCCATGTCAGGCCCTATCACATCTCTTTGCTTTTTCATAAGCTATTTCTATGAGTCGAGTGCTTTTCCTTCTCTTCTCTACCTGGTGAACTCCTGAGCAAATGCCTTCTGTTTTGCGATCCTGCCCTCCAGATGATGTTGGCTACTTTCCCTCTGTGGTCCAACACCACTTTGTACTTACCTGTATGACAGCGTTTCTTTTATTTTATTGGGATTATTTGTCCCCTCTTTCATTTTATGGGTATCTTGAGGGCTTCTCCATGTTCTATGCATCCCCAGTGATGGACACAGACCAGGTGATTACAATTTTATTCCATAAATTTGTGTGGCTGGAAAGGTGGGGAACTTTAGATTAATCTCATAATCTCTGTTTCATCAAGGTTGTGGTTCTCAACCTGATTTCTGCTGCACTGTTCCAAAGGGAATGCTTGGAAATGTGTGGGAGAACGTTGGGTTGTCACAACGACTAGGACTGAGTGCCACTGGCACTCATTGGACCAGGACCAGGGGTGCTAAATGTTCTGTAGTGCATAGGATAGTCTTCCACAGGAAGGGTTATTCTCTCCAAATGCCAGTAGCTTCCCCATTGAGAACTCCTTATCTAGTCTATCTAGTCTAAAGCACAGGAAAGAGGAGAACGATCTGATAGCTACAGAAACTGTTTCTGGCTTCCATCAACCCTCTGCACACACTGTGAATAGGAGAGCGTTATGCTCTGTGAGCGGACGGCTTGAATGATAGGTTTTTCCTGTCCACTAAATCCATTTCTACCCCTGGCTATTTCTCCCATGCCCTCTGGGTCCTGAGGTTGGAGTGCATGACTAAACCACAGGAAAGTGCAGGATAAACACGACTAAACCACAGGAAAGTGCAGGATAAAATTCTGCCCTCCCACTCAAATCTCTCTTGTTCTAGGTGTTCTCTAAGCCTGGGGAGAGGGACCGTGGGAATTGAGTTCTGTGCATTTCTTTCAAAAATACGGCACGATAATTTGATCTTAATGTTTCATCCACTGCGCAGAAGGCTGAGAGTGACTAATTTCAATGATCTTTTAAAAAATCTATTTATAGAAAGCCTTCTGGCTACAGATATCAATGTGGAAGGTGGCACATTGATTTAAATCCAGTTTTCTGTCACGAGGTGTCAGAAAAGCTAAATGGCTCTATCATGGTTTTTTAGGTCCTTTTCTCGGAAGGACATCCTTTTGTTCAATGTTGACACTGACGTGGCTGTGGTATCCAGGATTTAGGAAGAGTGTGAGGAGAAAACTTGGGAGCTCAGTTTTTCAAACAGGGCTCTTTGATTCTTCACCGCAAAGACATTTTTGAAAAAAGATCTCTGAAACACAAGCTCAGTCATTCACGTGGTTTACTGTCCTGTGTTATGTGTAGCAAAAAGTCTTTTTGACCAATTTACCAGGAGAGTCTGGAGCTTGGTATTTATCAGCAGTTGCTTGATAATGTTTTCTGAAAGATGTTGCCTGTAAAGGATGCTTTATAAAGCCAAGTTCTAGTCTATTTACTGTATGTTTCTTTTTTTAGATACTCCCAGAAGTATAAAAGCATCCACTGCTACAGCTGAACAGTTTTTTCAGAAGCTGAGAAATAAACATGAATTTACTGTTCTGGTGACCCTAAAACAGACCCATTTAAATTCCGGAGTGATTCTCTCCATTCACCACTTGGATCACAGGTAGGTGAGGCTGCTAGAGTTTCCTGTGTTTTCATTATATATGGTGAAATTAACACATTAAAGAGAAGTAAACAAAAGCAAGATATTCATGATTGGTTTAAAACAGCAAGAATAATTTTGCTACATTATGCAAAATCAGAAACACAAGTAATTGAGATCAGCCTAAAAGCAGAAGGAGCTATTGCTTTTGATGTTGCTAAGGGCGAACGGAAGTCGCCATTCCTAAAACCCATTTATTAATTACTAGCTTCCTCATGAGTTATCTTCCTCAATGTTAAAGTCAAACATACTCCCTCTTAATTGGTGAACAGTTAGCCGCAAAAATACCATATTCTGTTTCTTTAGGATATTGCCTGGGTTTAGAGTTTAATAGTCTTATAATTTTAATCACAGACAGATAAATTCTTTTTCAGCGCACTTCTTAGACTGTGGCAGTTACAGCTGTATTTTTGGATGTGTGTTGAATCAAAATGCTGTCTAGTATTTCCTAGCTCCTCGCACGCATAGGAGCATGATTAGGAGAGCTGGTGGGAGTAGTGAGGAAGAGGGGAGAGGGGGAAGAAGAAATTCATTCATAACACTTAGCATATACATAAATTGCTACTAAATATTAAAGTGATTCCCTCCTGAAAGAATAACCACAGTTCTGACAGTGAAAGTTCTTTTGTGTTCATATTTTGAATGCCCACTTCGTGACTATCTGGGGACGTTGGGCAAGTCATATAACCTCTCTGTGCCTCAATTTCCTCATCTGTAATAGGAGGATAGAAATAGTACCTCCTTCATAGGTAGTTGTGAGGATCAAAGACTTCATATATGTAAAGTGTTTTACATATATAATGGACTTAATAATCCTGTTCAGATGTGGGCAGAAACCTCTTTTCTTGGTTTCTCTTAGGAGAGATGGGGCAGCCTGGGACTTGGCAAATCTTTGCTAAATACTAAAGGGCAAACAGAAGCAAATATATGTGGAGAACGAAATATAGAAAAGTGACACAGAGAGCAGGGTTCCTGATCACATTCTACTTGGATTACTCTCAGGGATTTAAGACCCCATCTAATTCTATCTTTAGTCCCAAAGGATTGGCATAACTTCCCAGGCCCCTCACTTGGATTTCTTTCCTCCCAGGTTTTGGCCTGTTTTTGAAAGGAGGGTGCCATCCTAACATTCACCAGGTAATCGGCTTGGGCTCCTTAAGACTGAGCAACAGGGCTTCCCTGGTGGCGCAGTGGTTGAGAGTCCGCCTGCCGATGCAGGGGACACGGGTTCGTGCCCCGGTCCGGGAAGATCCCACGTGCCGCGGAGCGGCTGGGCCCGTGAGCCATGGCCGCTGAGCCTGCGCGTCCGGAGCCTGTGCTCCGCAACGGGAGAAGCCGCAGCAGTGAGAGGCCCGCGTACTGCAAAAAAAAAAAAAAAAAAAAGACTGAGCAAGAAAGGGAGAGGTCCATCTCCAAGGGTTCACCAGGGCTGTTCGCCTTGGTATGTTCCTGGTCCTCGTCTTCAGGAGATTGACATCAGGGGAGCTCCTCGTTTGTAACGCTGCGACCCTCCTCTTCTCCAGTGGGCTTTAGGCAACATGATTCACATACAGCGAAAGATATTGTTCCTTCACAGAGCAGCCTGATTTATTGCTGATTATTTCTGTTTGCTAAGAAAATTTCCCCTGTATTTTGGGCACGAGATTTTTCTAAGCTCTGTGGCTTCTTACTACCCCATTTGTAGAGACATGGAACTCGCCTAACCTTCTTCCACATGACATCCCTCACGACCATCCCATCCAGATGGTCAATGTTTTCTTGGTCCCTAGAGTTGAATACATTAACTCTACAAATGTTTGACCAGCATGCATTTCTTATAATCTATGCACTTTCCAACTGATACGTATTAAAATAGTTTGAAAATTGTTTTTAGCACCTTAGATATAGTAAGGATATGGACCACCGAAATACCCAACTTTTATCAGGTAGGTCTTTGAAGGAAGATTTGCTGTCAGACAGATCCTATCTTACTATTCCTATGAAGTAGATTTGTTAAAGTTATGTGTAGGGCTTTATATTGACTTATTTCAATTAAAAATAATATTTGTTTTTTTCAAATTAGCATAGCAACATATTTTCATTGTAGAAAATGGGGACAACTGACAGGTGTAATAAAGAAATAGGAAAACTCATACAAGTCATATCACCAGAAGAAGACTGATGTTGAAATTCTGTCATATTTTAATCCAGTTTTTTGTCTGTGTCAGTGTGTGTTCTTACTTTTGGATACTGAACTCTTTCCTTTTTTAACTTTAATAAACAACACTGTGATGAACATATTTATACATAAATCTTTGTGCTCAGCTCTCATGCTTTCCAATTATTCTTGTTAAATTGATTATTAATTCTTCATTCTTCCTTTGTATCATCTGTAAATTTGACAACATTTACCTAAACAAATACCATATTTGAGATAGAGGATATTTTTCTATGATAGTTAAAATCATATCTATTTGGAAGGCACTTTTCATTTGCTTGGGAAGCCAACAATTATTAAAGGCTTACCGTGTGCTAGGCACAGTACTCGGTGCATTCCATGGGTTAGTTCCTTTTACGTCAATATTAGATAGTGGTTCAGAGTGCAGATCTGGAGAAGGACTGCGTGCATTCCAGTCATAGCTCTGGCTGTGTGACCTTGGGTACTGGCTTTGTGACCTTGGGTAAATCACTTACCTCTTCTGAACCTCAGGTTCCTCATCTGTAAATCTGTATAAAGTGCTTGATGGTGCTAGAGGAAAAAATCCACTAAAGTCCCATCATATTGCAAGGTCATTATTCTCATTATCATTTTACAGATAAGAAAAACAAGTCTTAGAGAGGTTAAGTTGTTAAAGGCTCCCAAGAGTAAATGCAGGTAGGGTTTAAACGCAGGTAGTATGATTATAGAGCTGGTCTCCGGGACCTCTGTGCTGTGCCTTCTCTCAGTGTCTGAAGTTGTTAGACTAGCTTCTCTTCTGCCTGTTTTTTCACAGTATCACTTATCTAGATGGTGACAGAGTCGGCACCCAAACCCACTTCTTCTGATTTTTTTTTATTCCAGTTTTATTGAGATATATCAATAATTGACACGCAGCACTGTATAAGTTTAAGGTGTACAGCATAATAATTTTACTTAACATACATCATGAATTGGTTATCACAGTAAGTTTGGTGAACACCCATCATCACATATAGATACAACATCAAAGAAATAGAAAAATAATTTTCCTTCTTCTGAGAACTCTTAGGACTTACTCTCTTAACAACTTTCATGTATAACACACAGCAGAGTTAATTATATTTACCAGGTTGTACATTACATCCCTAGTACTTATGTATCTTATAACTGGAAGTTTGTACCTTTTGACTGCCTTCATCCAATGCCCTCTTCCTCCATCACCCGCCTCTGGGAACCACAAATCTCATTTTTTTTCTGTGAGTTTGTTTATTTGTTTTTGAAGCATAATTGACCTACAACACTATTAGTTCCTGTTACTCAGCGTATTTCTATATATTTCAAAGTGATCACCACAATAAGTTAAGAGGGCACCATACATACACACATACGTAGTTATTGACTATCTTCCCCACACTGTACATTTCATACCTGTGACTCGTTTATTTTATAACTGGAAGTTTGTACCTCTGAGTCTCCCTCACTTATTTCTCTCCTCGCCCCAAACCCTCTCTCTTGTGGCCATCGCCTGTTTGTCTCTGTATCTGTAACTCTCTTTCTGTTTTGTTATGTTTGTTCATTTGTTTTGGTTTTTAGGTTCCACATATGAGTGAAATCATACAGTATTTGTCTTTTTCTGTCTGACTTATTTTACACTCAGCATAATTCTGATTCCCGAGTCCGGTATTTTTACACATCCACTGTGATATCTCCTAACCTCCCATTACCCTCACAGACCTTGTGCTTTGGTTTGTATTGTTTTTTTTCCTGTTGTTGTTGCTGAAGGTATCTTTCTTTCCTTAGTCTTATTCTCAGCCATCTCTTTAGTGTCATCATTTCCTGAACACTTATTCTCTGCTTATTTTCACAAAAAATTAAGGAGGTTTATAGAGATATCTACAGACAGTAAGACAAAAATAAAATGAAATATGCAAGCCAAGGCAAAGAAGAAATAGACAACCACTTAGATGATAAGGGAATGCAACTATTCTTGGTTCTGAGACCAGAGACTTATTTCTCCTATGACCTTTTAGGGTAAAATATAGTGAGTGCCTTTAGAGGAACAAGTTCAGAGGACCTTGTGTCAGCTGGTGACATCAAGCCACAGCGCGCTTCAGAAAAAGCAAATCTATAACGATGCCAGTAACGTGCATCTAGGTGTAAAGGTGTTTGAAGTTGTACTGTCTTCGAGGCCCTTGGTAGTGTGCCCAAAAGTTCTGTGCAACCAAGTTTTGCTGCTCAGAATGCCAATAGCACCTCCTATGTGAAATCCTGTTAAAATACCATGTCTTCTAGGCAATATTCCATACCAGTTGCTTTTCCCAGTGTCTTGAGAATAATACTGAATTCAAGTTAGACTTCTCAGATGAATACCCAAATTGCAGCTATTCTTTGTTGACAGTTAAATGAAAGTTGTGTTGAGCCTCAGCAGCAATTGAGTTGTAGGAAACACTGACATTTTATTATGAAAATTGAGGAACCAAATAAGGCCATGCCTGAACAGAAGGTACCCACATCCTCCTGTGGTGGCTGAAGTAGGCAGTTCCCAAGGGCAGGGCCAGGCTTTTTCTGGGTAAGTAGTGTGGATTCTACTCTCGTGTAATGATGGATAGATCCTCTAGAATGTGGAAATTTTAGCTATGCTACAAATTTCAAACATTACATATAAGATTAATGCTGATAGTGAATTGTACAAATCAGGAAAATCACAAAGAGGGAAGCAAAAATCATCTGTAATTTTATCCCCCTGGGGATAGTGTCTACTAATATTTTCAGTTATAAATGTCTACTTAAAATAGATAGATAT